CCGGTTAGCTCACTTGGGAGAGCATGGTGCTGACAACACCAAGTCAAGGGTTAAGATCCCCTTACCGGTCATTTAAAAAAAAAAAAAAAAGAATTAGCAATGTGCTGGAGTTTAGTCCATCCCCCATCCTCTCAACCCGCCCCCTCCATCACACACTGAATCTCAGTCCTGAGCTGGGCCTGGCCATGGGATAAGCAGGACATGATGGAGTAGGTCACAGCTCTAAAACTTCCTATCATGTTAGTATGGAGTTTATGGAGGGCTCAGGGATTTCTAAGTCTGGTCCGTGACTCAAGGAGTCCCTTCAGAGAAAGCTCCCCTGATGTAGGCTTGAGGCATGCACAGTTTGGAATTTAAAGACGGGAGGAAGGTGAGGGTTTAAACAAAACAAGGTTTAGAGGAGGTGCACAAAGACCAGCATGATGGGCACAAAGAAAGTTCTGAGGCGCAGTGGAGGTAAAGCTCGAGAGGGAGGGTGAGGCCAGACAGTGACCCTGAAAACCAGCAGAGGCATCACGAGTTGAAATGCATTGCAGACTTAGACTGGTGGCCATGGGGACCTGGAAGCTGCTTCAGCCTGGGAGGGCCACAGGCAGAGTTGGGCCTTAGAAAGTGACTTCTGGGGGCAGGCTGGCTACTCAGCGTGGACTGATGGCTGAGATTCTGAGTAAGGAAAAGGCACAGAGTACCCCCAGTGTCCCATGAGGGGAGGGCTCAGGAGTCACTCATCCTGGGGTCCCCTGCATTTGTCAGAGCTGTGCCAAATATTTGCAATATTAAATACAATTGCAACCACAAAGAGGAGGTCCAGATCCTGCTGCACTGGTGCATTAACAGAGGCTTCTGGCTCTGTCCTGTAAAATCTGTCACTCAAAATTCTGAAAAAGAAAACATGGAACCCAGGAACCAGCAGACCCACAACCACGAGAAACCTCTGGGGGGTGGGGGGGGAGGTGTGGCAGCAGCAGTCTAGAGCAGAAGCCACTCTTCCAGCTTTGAAAGAAGGCAAAGAAATGTTTGCATTTCTGGTCTGGGCCCTCCTTAGCCATTGCCTTAGGAAAATCTTTGCATGTCTCTCACTTACCAGCAGGAATCAGTGACAAAGGCCCAGTCAACCGATGTGGTTGTCAACAGCGGTATAGTCTGAGCAGCACAAAAGCCTTGCTGGATGAGAAATCAGAGATACCAGGTGGGAACTAATGTGCCCAGCAATCAGACCCTGTCTTCCCTTCTCCAAGACCCAGTGCAGCTGCTTCCCAGGATCTTGAAGCGGAAGCCCTGACCTGGACACTTCCTTAGAGTTGGAGTCTAAGACTCCGAATGTGAGCCACCACGGGGTTTTTGTGGGCTACAGCCTCTGCTTAGAGGCTCCTTGCTTCCTCTTCCTTGAACTCACCATTGCTTGACACATAACAGGGTCTGACCTCCATCCTGCCCAATATATCTACCACAGTAAGTGATAACCTGGGGGATGGTGGAGGAAAGAAGAGCTCAGAAGCCACCAGAAGAGGCAGCCAAGCAACACAGCTAACTCACAAGAGAAGCAGGGACTGGACAGCATTTGACATGGGAAGCAGAAGTCTTAGAATGGATGGATCAAAAATATAAAATGAGAATGATAAATACCAAAAGCAGGCAAGGGTGAAATCTGACAATCTGAAAATTTTAAAAATCACCAAAAGGAATCAAGTTGAAGAATTAGGTAAGAAAAATATTATATTGTTGTTAGCCTTTGCTATGGTTTATTATAGAACATCATATTCAAGAATGAATTCTTTTTATCTTTTGTGGCCTGTATTTATCTGTATTTCCATATGCATTCTGTGTCCATATCTACATGTATCTCTAGCTTTATATATCTATTCCAATCAGAGTAAAAGTGAACAACAGTAGTTGGGAAGGAACAAGTAGAAAGATTTATGAATTGGAGCTCTTTTTTGCACGCATGTGTTTATCAGAGATAAGGGTAAGTTTCCCTTGGTAATGTCAGAAGTATCATTCATTAAGCAACCCACTCTGTGTGATACTTTACATTATTTCTTTTAAAATTTAATCAAATTATCTGTAGTATTAGTCTGTTTCTGTTGCTTATAACAAAATACTTGAAACTCAGTGATTTACAAAGAAAACGAATTTATTGCTTACAGTTTCTGAGGCTGGGAAGTCCAAAGTCCATCTGGTGGTGGCAACAGTGACCCAGGGATCTCACAGTGCAAGATGGTGGAAGCAGAGAGAGAGACAGACTCTTCATGCTCCCCTTTTAAAGCCCTCAGAACCACGCCCCTGACCACCATTTTTATTTATTTATTATTTATTTATTTATTTATTTTTTGTCTTTTTCGTGACCGGTAAGGGAATCGCAACCCTTGGCTTGGTGTCGCCCACACCGCGCTCAGCCAGTGAGCACACTGGCCATGCCTATATAGGATCCGAACCCACGGCAGGAGCGTCGCTGTGCTCCCAGCGCTGCACTCTGCCGAGTGCGCCATGGGGCCGGCCCTGACCACCATTTTTAATCTATTCACTACTGCATGGTCCTACAATCCAATCACCTCTTCAAGGCCCCACCTTTCAATTACCATAATAGGATTTCCGACCCTCTTAACGGTCACAGTGGGGGCTAAGTTTCTAATACATAAAAGTTGGGGGACACAATTCAAGCTTCAGTGAGTTTTGGTGGACATAATTCAATCCACTACACCCATGCAGGGTATAAACAGTCAATTAATTTACATTTACTGTCACAAGCAGCAATGTCCTAACTGCCCTCTCCCCCTCATCTCTCCTTCCCCAGCATTATCTACTTCCGACACTTTTGGCTGTTGCTTTTCAGTACATATCTCCATATTTCTAAATGCCATGCATGCAATTCGGTCTTTTTCGTCCCTTGTACACCCACCACCCATGTGCAACCTTCTCATCTGCCCCCATCTTCCCAACATTGATCTTTAGTTTGGGTTACATTTTGGAGACCAAGGAAAGGTTGCCATGTTGTTTTGTCCTTGAGCTGGTTTCTGTCTTTCACAGAGGATTTCCTTGGACATATGGTAATTTTTGGTTGTGCAACCATCACCACCATCCATCTCCAGAACTTTTTCATCATCATAAACAGAAACTCTGTACCCATTAAACTATAATTTCCCAACCACTGCCATTCTGTCCCAAATTCACCACATCACCATAGCCCTCTACACCTTTGCACACGTGGTTTCTGGTGCCTGGAGTGCTCTTCATTACCTTTCTACTTGGGCAACCACCTTTTCATTTTTCCAAACGTAGCTCAGATAAGCACCTCTTCTCTAAAGCCCTCCCAGACCTCCCCCTCACCAAGGAATTCATGGCTCCCTGCTGCATGCCTTGTACATTGCTATGCTCTCACCTGTTTACACATCAGTCACCTGTGTAATACCAGGGTATCCTAGAGCACAGAGGCCATGTCTGGTTGACTTCTATATCCCCAGGGCCCAGTACAGAGCAGTGTGTATTTGGCAAATGAATAAATGACGGACAAAAGACAAGTTTGATCATTAACTCCCCCAAGTCACCCTCCTGATCAAGCTATCAGCTCATTCGTCCAATTTCTAATACCCACTCAGTTCTTAATCCTTTACTTTCACACACACATTGTTTCCTTTAATTCCTACAACAAGGGTTGCCTGGTAAGTGTCATATCCCTATTTTATAGAGGAGGAAGCTGAGATTCAGAGAGTCAAAGCATCTTGCTCAGGTTAGATTACTGAACCAGGAAAGGAGCCCAGTTATTTGAGGCCTTCATTATCTACACCAGATCATGTCCTTTCCAGAACAAAAAAGATGGTGGTGAGGCATCACTGTGGCAGAAAGAAGCGCTGGAGCTGTGGACTGACAAAGACTCTCTCCTTGACCATACTCCAGCCAGGTTCCTCTAAGCCCTTTCTGAAATAGGTCTGAGCCTTGGGCCTATGAAGATTTGAATACAAACCAACATAGTTTCTAACAGCTCAAGGCCACATCCCTTGAATCACCCTATCCCCCATCCATCCCTCCTTCAAGTGCCTGCTTGAGAAAGCTCAAAGCTGCAGAGAATTTCCTGTTTGTTCCGGCCAACACATGAGGGTAGGGCCCCAGTCTCCTAACCTCTGTGGAAGAGCAGGAGCCTAACTTCCATAACCACCAGTTACCAAACCCAGATGGGTTTCACAAAGATCAATCCCCATTCCTTTTTGTAATTTTTCATTTCCCTGATTCTACCCAGCCCCTGCTAACCCTCTCCCTATTCCATCATTCTCCCTTTTAAAAGCCTATTCACCTCTGTACAAACTGAAGTTGAGTTCAATTCAGGCTGTACTCTTTTCCCTACTGCAAAAGTATATTACTGATTAAAATCTGTCCTTACCACTTGAACTAGCCTCCAGCTTTATTTATCTTTCTTTTTTTTTTTTTTTTCGTGTCCGGCAACGGATCGCAACCCTCAGTGTCGCGCGCCTGTACCGGACCAGGACCGGCAAGGGGATCGCAACCCTCGGTGTTGCGCCCACACCTCGCTCAGCCAGTGAGCGGGAACCGGTCTGTATGTGGGATCCGAACCCTCGGCGGGAGCGCTGCCGCGCCCCCAAGCGGCGCACTGTAGCAATGCTCCACCTGGCCGGCCCTGCAGCTTTATTTATCTTTGACACTACCCCTAGGGTCTTGTTTATTTCTGCCCTCAGAGCCCAGCCCTGGACCTGGACACATATAGGTGCTCTTGAATCAAACTTATTTGGAGCCTAAACCTGGACAGCTTTTCCTGGTGCCTGTGAATTCCTCGAGAGTTGGAGTTTACCTTCCATCCCGCACAGCGGAGAGGAAGAGTCTTGATATATCCCTCTCATTTTTCATAACACAGGGAACAGGGTCACAAAGCCAGGACATCCTTTTTTGTCCATCTTTTTGGTCCCTACCCGCCTCCTCGGATAGGGCGCCCAGGCTGAGGTGCCCACGCTAACTGCGAGGTCCCCGGGCGTTTGCCTTCAAGGGACCTAGCCCTTCACTTCATGGCGCTCTTGCGGCCCCAGGCTCGCACTAGTCTTGACCTGCTTCCCGTGAGCCTCCGCTCCCCGCTCCCGCTGGGGCGTGCGCTCCCTACCCAGCAGCCCTCGGGCGGCTCAGAGCAGCGGACACCAGGACTCCAAGATGGCGTCAGTCGGTGAGTGCCGGCCCCGGTTAGGGCTGTTTGGACGCGGTGTTGAAGGCAGGAGCTGGGGTCCAGGGCCAAGAACCGCTCCGGGAGGGGAGGGCGGTGCAGAGCCGTCTGCCCTTCGCTCAGGGACTTCGCCGCTGTCTCGCCTGAGGTGTGCCGGACCCTTGTTCCAGGGCCCTGCGCCGCCCGATCCTACTCCGCTCACCCAGCCTTGGCCTCCTGCTGCATAGGGCCCGCGCCGCCCCGCTGCGGCGTGGAGGGTGAGGGCAGCCGAGGGATGCGCCTCCAGGCTTGGGCTTTGTGTTGCTCTCTCTATACGCTAGGGAGTTGCTGCTTCCCTCCACGCCGCGACCCATGCGATTTGCACTTGAACCCCTTGCGCAGCTTCTATCCTTCTTCCCAAAGCCGAAGCTCAAACTAAGCTGTAAGCGTGGTTAATGTCTAGGCTGGTGTCTGACACCACGTAAGGTTTGATACATATATGTTGAATAGGCTCAGAGGTGAAGTGACCAGTTCAAGGTCACAACTTATGAGAGGGCTGAGCGGGGATTCTAATCTAGGAGTCTGAGGCTTCACGGTTAATGAGCTTCATTTGCAAGGATGGTCTCATGACCAGCAGGCTTTTCGTTGACGTGCATGTGTAAATCTCTACACTCATCCGACTGTGCACACTAATTTTTTTTTAATTGAATATGCAAACCATGTTTTAGCCCTAGATCCTCACAGTAGCTTCGTTAAGCTGTCAGTGTCAGGAACGTTGATCCCATTTTAAAAATGAGGAAAATAATGGTCCGACACGGTGTGACCTGTCTGAAGTCACAACAGCCTGATAGTGGTAGGGTTTCGATGAACCCATGTGTGTCCTACCCCAATTTCTATATTCTTAACCTCAGCCTGGAGAAATGAAGAGGCGATCAGGAAAGGTGAGAGTGAAGCTGTTTTCCCAACTGTAAAATGGGTGTAAGAATATTCATCATTTATGGTAGCTGTGTTGTTTAAAGGAGACAACGTGAAGAAAGAGCATTGAACCTCGTTTGTAGGCGGAGGGTTGTAGTGAAGAGTGCTCTGGCCTGAGGATTAAGCAATTTAGTGCACGAAAGATACTTGGAACACTGCCTCGCCCACAGTTAATTGCTCAGTTGGTGTAAGTTGGTCATCCCAGCTTTTAAAACTCTGTGACCTTTGAGTTAGGTCATGTCACATGGCTGGCCATTCAGCATCACTCTACATGAAGAACTTGGAGCTCATGTTTCTTAAGTATTGATGATCTTTTAGATGTTGCCTGTTGCCGGAGCACAAAACCAATAGTTCATGAGCAAATAAAGTGAGGGAAATAAGAATTATCAGTAGTAGGTAAGATCAGGGGTTAGCAATTCCTGTGGCCAGTGGCCGGATTTCTTGCGGACCGTTTTTGTGTGACCATGAGCTAAGAATGGTTTTTATGTTTTTGAAAGGTTGTTTCAAAAAAAGACTGTGCTATAGAGACCTTATGTGGACTGCAAAGCCTAAAATCTTTACTCCCTGGCTAACCTCTGCGTTGGATTTAGCACCCAGGAGACACTTCACTTTTCCATGCAGCTCCATAAGAAGTGAACAGTATGCTTCTTCAAGTCATAAAATCACCTACCTTTTCAAGAACCTGTGGTTGTTCCACAACCATTTCTGAGAGTCTGTCTGTACCAGGAACTGTGGAGATGTTCCCACCTTCATGTAGCTCACAATCAGGCAGAATGATAATAGTTCTCATTTACATAGTAGCTAGATCCAAGAACCAAAGTGGGTACTATTATTACCCTTATTTTACAAACGAGGAAACTGAGACACAGAGCAATAACTTGCCCAAGGGCACACAGCTACAAAGTGGCACTAACGCCAGAATACTTGACCCCAGACTCTGTTCTATTTGTCACTGCACTCTACTGCATCTCTTATGTGAGGCAGTGATTGCAGGTGGATGTTCATGCAGTGCCGAGCAGTGTTGGGGGAGGGGCTCTAATGTGGCTGCCAAGGATTAAGGCCTTTGTCTTTCACTGAAAGAGAAGTTCTTGGTATAAGGGAAGATGCACTTCTGATGAATCAGTGGTCCCTTGGAATCTTGTGATGGTGCTGTTCTTGGCTCTCCTTAGGGATGTATTTTTTCTTTGCTTATACATTTCTTAATTTTGTTTAAGGAAACACTCATAGTGTAGAAATATAAATAGGTAGAAAAATAAATTTTAAATTGTTGGCCTTTTTTTCCTGTGATGTACCAGGCACCATGCCCACCTCTGAACATGGTTAGGAGAATGCAGAGTATGTTTACGTAGTTTGTGTGACTGTGAAAAAATAGCTTCATTGGGCCCAGAGAAACCTGGCTTTTTTGTTTTGTTTTGTTTTTTGAGTCACCTATCTAATGCCAGTCAAAAATACTTTGATTTAAAATATTGTTTTTCTTTGGTGCATCTCCTGCCACATAGTTCTGTTTTAAAAGCATTTTGAAACATTTGATTAGGGAAGATTTCAAACACAAAAGAAACAATAATGTGATGAATGCTTTGTACTCATTACCCAGCTTCAGGGGTTAACAACTTCTGCCATGTAGTTCCATCTGTACATTCATTACCCACGCTCCACCACATTACCCTGTCGGTTGGTTTTAGAATGACATGCTTGTGTTCCTCACTGCAGGCAAGAGTGCGGCAAAAATATTGACTATGTACTTATTCAAAAAGAAAGTTTCCCTTGCACTAAAAGCCTGCTGTTCCAAGTGAAGACAAAACTGGATGTAAGATGTGTGCTTCTTAAACTTTTCTAGAACTAACATAGGCAAGGTGACAGAGAAGGGTATAGGTCATACCAAGATGGGTACTATCATTACCAACTAATAGAGATTTGTAGCATATCCTGAAATTCACTTTTTGGGGGGGAATATGTGAGACTATCTCACATTTTATAAATATTCCCTAACTAATCAGTTTTCTGTTTGTAAAGAAGTAAAGGATATGGTTAATCACTGAAGTCTTTTATGTTTAAAAAAAAGTCCATAGTAAGTAGACAGTTTGCTTCTTCAAGTCATAAAATCACTTACCCTCTCAAGAACCTATGGTTGTTCCACAACCATTACTGACAGTCTGTCATGTACCAGGTTCCCTGAAGAGGACACCCGCTGAAGTCCAGTTACATATCATTTCTTTCCTTTTTTTTTTAAAAGAAAGGGCTAAGGAATATTTATTTCTAAAAATAAAAGATGATAAGACATCTCTTAAATGAAACAAAAAAAGTGCGTATCTGGCAACCATTTCTTTCTCAACTCCCTTTCTTTCTTTCTTTCTTTTTTTTTTTAATGTTTCACATAGACCTTAGATTTCAATAGTAATAACAACAGTTTACAGTGTTCCAAGCACTGTTCCAAATGCCTTTACATCAGTTCTCATTTAATCCTTGGACTAAGCCATTTCACAGATAAGGAAGCTGGAGCTCAATGGTTATATAGGAAGGAAGTGGTAGTGCTTATTTGAGATAGGGCAGGCAGGGAAGGAGGCCTCTGAGAAGGCATGAGATAGCCCAGTGATGATCTAGGGGCTCTGCAAATGCCCTCAGGTGAGAATAATCTTGTTGTATATGAAGAACAGGGCCTTGGCTGAAATGTGGGGAGCAGGGAAGATGGGTAGGACAGGAGATCATTGTTGGACAAGTAGAATGTTAGCTCCTTGAGAGCAGGGTTTTCTTCTGTGGTCGGTCCTGTATTCACAGTGCTTAGCACACTGCTTGGCATACAGTAGGTGCTCCATGTTTGTTGGGTGAGGGTAGATGGAAGGTTAAGGCCAGTTTGGGGCAGGCAGCCTAAATGGTGTCCCTTAAGCCATGCATGGAAGTCACAGGCTTATGCCTCCATCTGTCACTTGTGGCCTATGGAGAAGCACTCAGTCTTGACACTTATGAGGCCATGGGCCTGGTTCTCCAGATGACTCAGAGCAGATTAAAAGCTGGCCATTAGCCTTGCATTTATGTTAATGGCCCAAAAGCCTTTGCTCTTGTTGGGAGATGTCAGGAGACTTGTAGGATCCCCCTTAGTGGACTCTTAAGGCTGGTCCTGAAGGAGCCTTAGTCTTTCCTTGGATCCCAAAATGGAAAAGAAGCCTTGGAGTGATTTAGTTTTGCTCCTTCTGTGATTAGTCATCTTTAAGAAGGGACAGTGGTCCTTGACTCCTTGCCCTAAAGAAGACACCTGCTAAAAGCTTTTTAAAATTGATCTTTGCAGGGAGAACAGGAGAAGCCCATTCCCTCCATATGAACATCTCCTTGACACTCACAGGTCAAGCCCTCCCTATTTTCCTCTTGGGCCCAGAGATGAATACAGTATGGCTCAACCAGGAGCCCTTCCTGTTCTTTGTCCTCAAACTCTCGTTGGAATATGGTCTGGGGCCTGTTGAATCATTTGGAATGGTTTTTACTAAGTCATTTGACTCCTTGGAATATATTGTCTTATTTCTAACTCTGGAAATTGTTGACCTCTGTGGTCCCAGGAAATGCTTGAGGTGGAAAGTCCTTTGTTCATCCTTTTATTGAACTTACTCAAGCTGGCATATCTGGGGAGGCTGGCAGCTGTGTCAACCTAGGTGCTCCTCGAAGCCCTTCCTCAATTAACAAGTGCGTCCAGTCACAGTGAGACACTTATAGGCACTTCACACTGCTGTCCCTTCCACACCTCCTCTCATGCCACAGTTGCCCAGGGTTTGGACAGGCCACCCTCAGATTGGCTTCAGGAACAAAGGGGCAGTCCTTCCTCCATGAGGTGTGTGTGACCTTGGCCAAGTTGCGTAACCTCTGAATTTATTCCCCTTCCCCCATAAGGTAAAGGCATCAACTGCTTGTAAAGATTAAATAAACTAATATATGTAAAGTAAATGCTAGTTTTGCAGTAATCTCTTCTGCCCTCCACTTTATTGCTTGCTTCCTCAGGGCCTTTAGCTGTCTGTTTTAGAGTTATTCCCAGCAAGCTGTTATTCAGACATCTTGTGTACTAAAGCTGCCGCTGTAGCAGTTCTGCCATTATACAGACTCAGGCTTAAAATAGTGGATTTGATGCAATGTATCTATTCATAATATTATTTATGTTCAGCCTCTGTGTACTTACATTATGCACTCTTATTGAATAGCTGAAGTAGTGACATAAAAGGCTGCTGCTTGTATTACTGGGAGGTTATTTAGTGGGTGTCTTTTTTCGCTCTTCCTTTTCAGTACCAGTGAAGGAGAAGAAACTCATGGATGTCAAACTAGGAGAGCTGCCAAGCTGGATATTGATGCGGGATTTTTCCCCAAAAGGCATTGCTGGAGCCTTTCAAAGAGGTCAGAACCTTATGGTTGTGTGTAAACAAAAGCAGATCTCTGGTTTAGGTCTCTTTTTCCCATGACTTAATTTCAGCAATAAAGGCATTTAGTTATGCCTTTAAATTATGTAGGAAGGGCAGGGAGTTGTTAGCCCTTGAATTTCCATATTTGTTTGGCCCAATCTCAGACTGGCTGTGACATATTTCAGCCAAGAAAATGTTTTCCATTGTTTGGAATCAGTACCTCTGCCTCTATCTTAAAGAAATGTCTATGAGCATTTTCACATCCTAATACTTCTTTAAGAGGAAAATAAGTTTGAACTATAGTGGACATCAGTCTGTAATGATGGACATCAGTCTGTAATGAAACGCTTATCTCCCTGCCAGGACTTCCAAGACAGATATTTGAAGTGGCCTATTCTTCAGGTCTGTGCATTTAAAAAGTGCATGACTAGTCAGATCCATCCTGTGTAACCCATCCCATCATTTCAGAAATAAAGACCCAGATAATCCCAGGGGTCCTGTGAGGTCTCCTAGAGGGCCCCCTCCTTCTGTTTCTCTAATAGTGGCTGCCCTGTGGCTGTCTTTTATGTGTAGTTTCCTTCTGCGCTAAGGCCTTTCCTTCAGCTTTGCCCTCAGGTTAGAACAGAATCCTCTGGGGCCGGCCCGGTGGCGCACTGCGCTAGTGCGCCACTTGGGAAGCGCGGCAGCGCTCCCGCCGAGGGTTCGGTTCCCACATACAGACCGGTTCCCGCTCACTGGCTGAGCGAGGCGTGGGGGCAACACCGAGGGTTGCGATCCCGTTGCCGGTCTCGGTCCGGTATGGGGGCGACATTGAGTGTTGCGATCCGTTGCCGGACATGGAAGAAGACAAAAAAAAAAAAAAGAACAGAATCCTCTGCCTTTTCCCCACACCTAGTTACAGCAGTCCTGAGACTCCTCAGGGGAGGTGAATGTGGCCTATTTGTGCTTGAAGCTCCCTGTCCAGCTCCTTCATGGCATCCCTCACTACTTTAAACTATATGTTATATCTGTCATCATTTACTTCTTCATCAACTAGGCTTCGAGCCCTAAGAGGGCAGAGACTAATGCTTGTTTCCTCCCTGGTGGGTGCATGTGTCTGCACATGGCTAGGCACCCAGTGAAGAGATGAAGGCACAGAAGCCTTCCTTCTCCCCAAGGGCTCAGCTGGCCATGGCCAAGTGGCCCTTATTGGGGGTTGGAGTCTGGATCAGAATTAGGGTAAGGGGATCCTCTGAGCTGGAATTGAGGTAATATCAAAGGCTGACAAGCTGAGCCAAGTCTACAAGATCAAGGGCAAAGGGTAGAAGCAGAATCAAGGTGGGCCTAGCTCTAGAACTGGAGACCCTACAGGGCATTTGTACTTTTCACCTTGGTCCACTAATTAGGGTGAGTGGCTTAAAGAGCCACAGCAGGATGGGGTCCCTCAATTTCAACCAGACTCAGTTGAGCACTCAGAAACATTCACAGCAGATCAGGGCATTGAGCACGTCTTCTGTTTGCAGGTTACTACCGGTATTACAACAAGTACATCAATGTGAAGAAAGGGGGTGTCGCTGGGCTTTCCATGGTGCTGGCGTGTTACGTGCTTTTCAACTACTGCATTTCTTACAAGGAACTCAGTGAGTGCCTCTTGGGTTTTCTTGCCTTTAGTTTCCCAGAAGAGGGTGGTACTGGCTCACTTTGTTAGATAGAGCAGCAGTCCACCTTCTCCTGTGAGCTGAGGGAACTTTGGTATGTTCCTTGCCTACACTTCCACCTAAAAGAATTGGGGCTACTTAACAAAATACAGTGTATGGGATATTGTTTTAAATGAGAAAACTGTCAGAGAACATGGGAAAATCGAGATGAAGCTAGAGTAAAAGGTAGTATTTAGGAGGCATTCAATGATTCTGCAGGCTCTGCTAAAATTTGGCTTGATCTTAGTAGCCAATACAAAGAGGGAAATAGGTTGAGTGGTATAATCCGGTGTCTGTACAGTGCTGTTCCTGGCCCTGAGGCCCAAGAGGAGCTTGTCTGGTGGGAGATGCCGGGAATTGTCAGTGGCAGCCTCTGACTGGGTTTCATGGGCTGTTTCTGATAGCATCCAGCCCCTTGCCAGTCTGCTGCACCAGGGTGACGCTGCCTCTGAAGAAGGGGCTCTTTGAGGCTGTTTGTCTGAGTGAGTGTTTTTTCTGGAAACGAAGAGGCTGGCCAGGTGGCATGTTGGCTCCTGAGGTCCCTTTGTGCCCTCAGGCCTGTGGATTCTGCTAAGACACTAGCAAGCAGGTTCTGGGTCATCTCCTGAAAGGAATTCTAAGGAAGGCTTTGTGTGATTATATTCTGCTGCCGTCCCTGTCATCTCATGCTTTCCCTATAACAGCTTTTAAGAAACTTACTGTTTTGCCTTCCTGACTTCAGAGCATGAGCAGCGACGCAAGTACCACTGAAGAGGGACCAGTGTGGAGGGCGCTCTGCACTCCTGACCATGACCTCCTTGACCTGCACCCCTCCGTGAGGAAGTCAGTCATTGCTGAATCCTTTCAAATCCTAATTGAGAATTAATGCCCAATAAAAGATGGAAACAGTGCACTGCTTGCCCAATGTAGCCACTGTCCTGCGCTCTAGGGGCTCCCAATGCATGAGTTGGGGATGAGATTGTCAGACAGCCCAGGGCTTTGAACCCTTGAAGCCTCAGTGGGCTTCCCAAACCACCACTTAGATCATGTTCCAGCTCACTAGGGGGCAGTGTCACCTGGAGTCAACACTGTCCAGAGGTCTGCTCCCTGCCTGAGTATTCCAAGGCACTTTGGCCTTTTGACACTCTGCTTATAAAGTAGAGGCCCTGTGTTCCTAAGAATGCCAGACCCCAGTCCTGGCCATCCTGTGGCTGTAAGCAGAAGATTTTTGGATGGCCTGAATGTCTTCCCCTCCCCCATTTTTCTTCATTACCTTTGGGACATTAGAAACTGCAAGGCAAGACCTAACACTGTCTGGAGAGCCATCAGGTAGTGTGGTCTTCCTGGTGAGGAGGCTTCACTAGCAAGAGGCTAAAGGCACAAACCTGCTGCAAGGTCACTGCCCCTGTATCCAACACTTCCTTCCTTCCTCTCCATGAAAGGTCTTCAGCCAAATACTGCAGTTGGCATGAGGCAGCACCAGTTCCTTGTCGAGGACTGTATGATGAGCATGTACACTGCACAGAGCGTACAGGGTAGAGGGCTGCGCCCAGTGTCCCCTAGATCTGAATTGGAATGAATAGGTGTCATCCAATGTTTGAGATGAGTGAGGTAAGGAGACCTGCCACCTGGCTGCTCCAAAGGTCAAGCTCCCAGACTTGACCAGCTGCCATACAAAGGCCTTTCTCAGCAGTATCACTTCCTTCTGTGAGAGTCACAATGCATGAGTTGGGGATGAGATTGTCAGACAGCCCAGGGCTTTGAACCCTTGAAGCCTCAGTGGGCTTCCCAAACCACCACTTAGATCATGTTCCAGCTCACTAGGGGGCAGTGTCACCTGGAGTCAACACTGTCCAGAGGTCTGCTCCCNTGTTCCAGCTCACTAGGGGGCAGTGTCACCTGGAGTCAACACTGTCCAGAGGTCTGCTCCCTGCCTGAGTATTCCAAGGCACTTTGGCCTTTTGACACTCTGCTTATAAAGTAGAGGCCCTGTGTTCCTAAGAATGCCAGACCCCAGTCCTGGCCATCCTGTGGCTGTAAGCAGAAGATTTTTGGATGGCCTGAATGTCTTCCCCTCCCCCATTTTTCTTCATTACCTTTGGGACATTAGAAACTGCAAGGCAAGACCTAACACTGTCTGGAGAGCCATCAGGTAGTGTGGTCTTCCTGGTGAGGAGGCTTCACTAGCAAGAGGCTAAAGGCACAAACCTGCTGCAAGGTCACTGCCCCTGTATCCAACACTTCCTTCCTTCCTCTCCATGAAAGGTCTTCAGCCAAATACTGCAGTTGGCATGAGGCAGCACCAGTTCCTTGTCGAGGACTGTATGATGAGCATGTACACTGCACAGAGCGTACAGGGTAGAGGGCTGCGCCCAGTGTCCCCTAGATCTGAATTGGAATGAATAGGTGTCATCCAATGTTTGAGATGAGTGAGGTAAGGAGACCTGCCACCTGGCTGCTCCAAAGGTCAAGCTCCCAGACTTGACCAGCTGCCATACAAAGGCCTTTCTCAGCAGTATCACTTCCTTCTGTGAGAGTCACATTTGTTAGAAAGGGGTAAAAAAGCACCAATATCACAGCTGCATGCCAGGCAACTAGTGCAGCCAGCTCAAGTGTCTCCTCCTTGGCATGGAGTCCCTTAAGTAATGAGACATAGCTTAAAAAACAAGCTTTAATCAACTTCATAAAAATTGTTCTTGTAATTCAACTTGGATAGGCCCACTTGCCCAGCAGGTTGCAGGTGACAGTTTCACATTTTCCAGGCTCAGGGACAGTGTTGTCTCTTCTGCACACCACAGGTGTCTTGAATGACAGTACAGATGCTCAATGGGCAGGAAGCAGGTACAGATGAACAGGACCATCTATTTAAAGGGTGGTCTGCAGCTCCAGCTGAAGGTATACTTTAAACACTGTCAGGCAGGTGCCCCAAGAGGAAATAAGCCCAGAGGAAAAAGAGAACCTCAAATGTGAGAGCCCTGCACCCCTCCTCAGCTGCTGCCACCTTGGAGCAGCACCAGGCTGAGGCAATGAGTGCACTTGAGTTTGCTATGAAGGGCTCCTTGTTCAGATCACATTGATAGGCACGGCTTTGGGATTCAGCAGGACAGGGAGGATTGCAGCTTTGAATGATACACCAGTCCCTGGGGCAACAAGAACTGGGGTTTAATGAGGCCCCGAGGGGAAAGGCCATCTTCCCCACAGAACTGTGAGACACAGGCCCTTCCCCAGCAACTTCCTTCCCTCCCCAGAGGGCTGGTGTGTGGGGAGTTCCAGAAAGGAGGCACTGATGCCTAGACATGATGTCGACCTGAGGGACCCAACTGGAGCATGTATCCCTTTCTAAAAGAAGATTACAGCAAAATGATAGGAAGCTAACAGACGTGGCCCCTCAGAACGATGAGCCCTAGCAGCAGCCTGTCTGCCAGCTCTAGCTGCTAGAGTCGCACCAGCACTGCACTGAACAGTTAAGTGCACGCTCCCAACAATGGGGCCCCTCGGGCTGCTCTGAGCTGGCTCCAGCTGCTGTCACTGAGTCTGCCAGCTCTAGCTGCTAGAGTCGCACCAGCACTGCACTGAACAGTTAAATGCACGCTCCCAACAATGGGGCCCCTCGGGCTGCTCTGAGCTGGCTCCAGCTGCTGTCACTGTCCACTGAGAAAGGCCAAGTGCCCTTTGGTGCATCTGTTGGCGTAGTGTCCTTTCTCACCACACTGGGAAGAGCAGGAGGGGAAGGAGGAGAGACAAAAAACACCATTTTCAAATGCAATGTTCAACTAAGGCAGCACCCACCAAGTACCAGACTGGGGACAGGACTGAATTCTCAGTGCTGCAGATTTTCTTTCAAACACGAGGGGAAGGGAGCTCAAGAAGGTATAGTGGTGCAGAAACTGCAGCCAGCAACTCAGCATATGGGAGGGAGAACAAGGTGGCCAGAGGACCTGATAGCACCCAGCCCCCTACCTCACCTGCGTGGGACTCAGGGCCTGCCCAGGGAGGGCTTCTCACAAGTGGGTGGCAGGATAAAGAGAAGCCCATGGCACCAGAGGTCACCCGCCTGTTCAGGGACTGAGCCCCTCTGTGGGGTAGGCCAGTCACTTACCTCTGAGTCAACATCTGGGTCTCCCTGGCAGGAGACAGGGGAGGGAACAACAGGAGAAGCCACCAGACTCCTCCCCCAACTCTGGGAGCCACTGCTGTGGACACTGAGGGTGGACTGCACCTGAAGTTTCCCTTCTGGCTCTTGCACACCTGTCTAAGCTAGCCCTGGGGATAGGTTTTGATCATAGGATCAGAGAGATGGGACAATGGTTAGACTTGGGTTAGTGGAGCCAGGAGTCACCTCTGCCAAATCCAGCACTGACCCTGACTTGCCCTGGCTCTGATTATCCAGGCCCTTCCATAGCTTCTCTTCATTCTTGTGACTCCTCAAAAGGCAGAAGAGAATCATAATATAGGAAGTGAATGGCAGCCTCGAGCACTGGACAAAGGGCCAGAGGCAGCTGAGGGCACCGCCCGTGAACTACTTCCCCTGGTGCCCTCCCAGTCCCCCCTTTCTGAGTGCAACGAGGGGCCCTACTCAATCATTGCGCAGCACTCTTGCCTGTTCTAGTCCCTTTGCTCCACAGTGCCCGTGTTTTCAAGTGTGTCTGTTCTGCAAGTGTGACTTTTGTGTGGATGAGTGGCCCAGGCAGCTGCCAGCCAGCCCTTGGGCTGATATAATGGGGGTAGGGGGTGGGATGGGGGACACAAACAACTACGTGGGCCCCAATCACAGCACTCGGCATGTCCGTCGGCCTCCACAGCTGCTGGGGACTCTGGGACTGCCATGAGGCATCTTTAAAATCAGCAGTGTGACGCGCCTGTGGCAAGAGGCTGTCAGGTCCCCAGCCCCACATTTCTAAGGTCTCAGTACTTAGG